GTCTTCCATCTTTTCTTGATGCATTCTGCATCATTCAATAATTTGCCCAGAGAATCCTTCAATAATGAGAGTCGATACTTGATTTTTTTCTTTACTCGTCTTGGGTCAATGATCCAAGTAATCTGAGAAATTCTGCATTAAGAAGTACACTGTGTTCAAATGGTACTGCCATTTCTAAAATATTCTGTAAATTTTCAGAATTGTCTTTTTGAATATACTTTGTGATAACAAATCTTCATTTCCTGCAAGGTGTGTTTTATTTTAGATTAATTCTTATAGAAATAGATTAAAACAAATCTTCCCAATAGATAGCAAAGTTAATGTTAGTTTTTTGGCCACAAGGTTGTTGGTTCAAAACTCACCAGTTGTTCCTCAGAAACCCTTTAGTGGGTCACTATGAGTCAGAACTGATTTGATGGCACTTAACAATAAACAACAAAACATACTATATTCAATATTGCTCAATTTTAAGTATATCAACAGAGACTATATTGAAGTTGTCAAGGGCTCCATTCTTCTTAGATCAACTATCAACACCCATGGGAGCAGCAGTCAAGGAATCAAATGACATATTGCATTAGGCAACTCTGCTGCACAAGACTTTTTTAAAGTATTGAAGAGCAAAGATGTAAGTTTGAAAACTAAGGTGCTCTGACCCAAGCCATATGCTTGCAAATGCTGGACAATGAATAAGGAAGACCATAGAAGAATTGATGCTTTTGAGTTATGGTGTTAAGGAGGCTTGGATAGAAATAGTATTCTATATCTGAAAAAAAGAGTCTCATTTGCCATTAGTAAATGAGAGTAGCATTATATATTTTCTTTTTGGGTTTGTTTCCTCACAAGATTGTGTGTGTTTCAAACGAGGATCAGGGTAATGTATATTGGGACTACTGAGGCTATGAAAGTAATATTTTCTTAGAAAGCTCTGTTTAAACTCTCAAGTACCTAGTACATAATTGATGCTTTTGAGTTATGATGTTGGAGGAGAATATTGAAAGTGTCATGGGCTGCCAAAAGAACCAACAGATCTGTGTTGGAAGAAGTGCAGCCAGGATGCTCCTTGCAGGCCAGGATGGCCAAACTTCGTCTTTCATACTTCTGACATATTGTCAGGAGGGACCAGTCACTGGAGAAGGATATCATTTTTGGTTAGGTGGACGGTCAGAGAAAAAGAGGAAGACCCACAAAAAGATGGATTGGCAAGGTGGCAGCATCAGTTGGCTCAAGTGTGGCAACAATAGTGAGGTTGGCCCAGGATCGGGCAGTGTTTTGTTCTGTTGTGCATAAGGTCACTCATGAGTCGGTATCAACTCGATGGCACCTAACAACAACAACAATCAATAGGACATGGTAGCAGATACTTTTAGTTTTTAAATTGCTCAAATTTCTTACTTTTTTAGAAAACAATTAGGAAAACGTATCAGTACTCTGATTAGTGAAATTAAAACTTGATATACTCAATTATTGAAAATAAAATAACAATTTTGAAAGTAATCATTCTCAGGATTTTCAGAATTGCAATTTAACTTTTTGTATTAGGAGAGAAAGAACTCCCCACTGCCACCGAGTCAATCCTGACCCAACGAACCTGTAAGAGATAGGAGAGCTGCCCTGGGTGTCTGAGACTGGAGAGAATCTAATAAATGGTGACTTTGCCAGTATTAGTGGGCAGAGGGCAGTGATCAAACAAATGAGAAGAGACAACATGCATAGTGCTAATATTTCTCTGAAAAATGTTCAAAATCATATAATATATTTTTAAAAAGCTACTAAAGAAGATCTCATTCTACTCTACATAAGCAAATATTTGGATGCAACTGTTTCTTATGGAAAGAAAGCTGTACAAAAAACATCAAAAGCCCTGAGAATTCATACCCTCTGACTAAATTATTCTGCATCTTGAATATTTGCTAAGTAAAAATGAGGAGGCTTAAAAAAGTTCATGGAAAAAAATCTATTATCTTTTTTTTTTTAATTCTATCTCGCACAAGCTTTTTGAAACCCCCTTGTGTCTAAGATATACCACAAAAATACATATGTGGATATTTATCACTATTTTATTAAAAACAATGAAATTATCCAGGAATATGGATTGGTAAATAAGTTATTCCATATCCCTGTAATGGAATAGAAATCACATAATAGAATAACATGCAATAAAAACTAAACCCACTGCTGTTGATTCAGTTCCTACTTATAGCAGTGTATTAAGACAGTTAAACTGTTCCGTGTGCATTTTGACACTGTAAATCTTGATGGGAGTAAACAGTCTCATCTATCTTCTGTAGAGTGGCTACTAGGTTTGAACTACTGACCTTGTGGTTATCATCCATACTTCACCCACTGTATCACCAGGATTCCTTGTGTATGTAATACTTTTAGGAAAAATTCAAAATATATTGAGTGGATAATGCCAGTTAGAAAATAGTACATGGAAGCTTCAAAAAGTTCATGAAAAAATTCCATTATCTTTTAATTCCGTTGTTCCATGAACTTTTTAAAGCTCTCATTTATATATAGTATGAGTATGATTCTCTTTTTACCCACATGACTACATGTATGTATTTAGCTTTATACTCATTTTTTTCTGTATTTTAATTTTTTTCCATAGTGCATATATTCAGAATGTTGTTGTATACCAACCATCAAGTTGGAAATTGAAATATCATTTTTTATTTTCAGAGTTTCTAATTATAAATATATTTATCCATAATTATTTGTGTTAAACTAAACGATATGAGTATACACATACCACAAAGTGAGAGTCTCAAAAAAAAAAAAAAAAATCAGGGGTAATATTTTAAGAAATTCTTCCTGCCCCAATCTATAATTGTACTTATCATAATGCTACCATTGAGTTGATTTTGACCCAATATAGGGTTTCTGAGAGTATACATAATTAAGGAACTAAATAGCCTTATATTTTTTCCATGACACTGCTAGTGGGTTTGAACCACTTACCCTGTGGTTCATGATTCAGTACTTACGCCATAGTGCCTCCCCAGCTTTTGGTATCTATATAGATAAATAAATGGAAATTAAAGAATTTTGTCATATGGTCTTCCTTTCAATACATCAAGCATTATTATTGAAGAAATTTCCACAACCCCTTGAGAGGTTTTGCATTGCTGTTTCAGAATTTTAATCTTCTTTCTTCTTACCTAAAATTGGTTAGGTACTCAAAACTATTTCAGTAAAATGAGGAGTACCCCTTATTTTTGATTACTCATTGCAAATTCTAGCACACAGGGTGGAATTTTTACTTCTTATTCCTGGTGTCCTGCTCTCAACATCTTAACCTGGCAAGAGGACCAAACTAGCTGTAAATCTTACCACCCAGACCACACTTGATTATTGTATGATTGGAAAATTAAACGGGAATAAACCAGCTAGACCATTAGGGTGTTCTTGGAAGAATAAACACAAGTTGGAAGTCTTAGGTGGATAGTGCAAAGTACAGGAAGGCAATCAATCATGTAAACATCAAATGAAAGGTTGGTAAGGAAGCCATTGGAGTCTGTCAGGCGCTCCCTGCAATAAATTGCTTGTTCCATTTCTTTTCCCTTTCACTCAGTTTAGAAAAGTGAATTCTGTGGAACTGCTAACAGATCCCAAAGACTTTGTAAGTTCTTATTCCTGTTTAAGGATACACTTTGAACAGAATGGGCTCCAACCCATTGAATAGGATTTTTAGTTTACATAAAATAAACACAAATATGTCATATACTCCATATTTTCCTGACTTTTTTTTTTCCTTCTCCCACAAACAGGAAACTGTTAAGGCAGCAATAATAGAAGAGCAGAAGCGAAGTGAAAAGGCTGTGGAAGAGGCAGTGAAAAAAACAAGAGATGAATTGATAGAGTATATAAAAGAACAGAAGAGGGTAAGTATCACATGAAGGGATTTAATTTATGCTTCCATGTATTCAAGCCGTGGCTTCTATACAATATCATGGTATCCTAAAATATTTTAGAAGCCCTTTGTTTTATAGTAAAAGGCTTTTCATCTAAGATTATTTTCTAATAGTAATCATATATTCTACTAGTTATTTCTGCCAACAAAAGACCAACACTGAATAACTTCTTGCTAAACTCCTAGAAACTACTTTATACTCATTAAAAAAAAAAAAAAAAAAAGGTAGACAGTTCTAGATTTTAAGGTTTTTCTTGGTCATAAGGTTGTTAATGTCTTGTGACATAATATTTGTAGAAATATATATGTACTCTTTAACTTTCTATACTCATACCACTGTGGTTCTAATGGACTTCATTACTTAGCATATGTGGGCTCTTCTCCCATAGTTCCATTTCAAAAACGTAATTCAGAAAGTACTTATCAGAATTCAGTGTGCATATGGAAACTTTAGAGTCCTGGTGTGGCGCTGTGGGCTAATGTGTCAGACTGCAAAGTCGTTGGAACTACAAGGTCGGCAGTTCAAGCTCACCAGCTGCTCCTTGGAAACCCTATACAGGGTCGCTATGGGTCAGAATCAACTCCGCGGCACTTAACAGCAACAACAACAACAGTGATGCTTTGCAAAATAAATGGTATTTCAGGACAATATCGTTTTATTAATGCATGAGTCTGACCAGTGACTGAAAATAGATCAAGCTTCATTTGTTCACCTTTTCAATAATAGATCTTTAGTTTTTGAAATACCTAAGGTAAGAAACAGTTTAATATGAGATGTTATAATAGTAATATCACATAAACATAATACACAACAACAATGTATAATAATTAGCGTAGTGGTTATGAATTGGGCTGCGAACCACAAGGTCAGCAGTTTGAAACTACCAGCTGTTCTGTAGGAGAAAGATGAGGCTTTCTGTACCCGTAAAGATTTACAGCCTCAGAAACCCTTTATGGGGTTGATATGAGTCGGAACCGACTTCATGGCACATAGCAACAACAGCGTATATTATAATATTATGTATGTTGTTAAGTGCCGTCGAGTCAATTACGACCTGTAGCATCCTTGTATAGGGCTTCCAAGGAGCAGCTGGTGAGCTTGAACTGCCAACCTTGCAGTTCAAAACGACTTTCTAGTCCAGAGCATTAATATTTACATATATAATATAATGAACAAATTAATAAAAGTATGTGGGGAAATTTGACACATAGTATTTATACTTAATTAATTGGTGATCAAAATAGCAAAATAAATTGAAATTGTAGAATGATATCTTGAACTTGACAGGTTGTAGGTAAAGGTATAGTAAAAGTCCATGTCGCTACTTTAGTCAGCTATGTTTAAGTCAAATTTGGCATAATGCAAATAAATTCTCGTACCTCAGTACCTACCATTAGGTTACAACAAAGAAAACTAGTCAACAGCATAAAACATTGCAACATAACCATTAACCATTAACCATTAACCTATTAACCATTCACAGTAGCACTTTTTGTGAGAATAAAATTTTGTGCATTTTACCTCAAGGTGTTTTAAAAAGCAGTTTCTTGATAGATCCCAACCTCCTGAAGAGAAAATTCTGTACTAAGAAAAGTACTTTTCTTTTTCAGGAAGTAATATGTTCTCAGAAATCTATTTTCATCTGTATCTACAAAGACTGTGTTTTATATAATTTGCTTCTTAAAGTAGTCATGACTGTTGTTAAGTGCTTTCAGGTTGGTTCTAACTCATAGCAATCTATATAGGGTTTCCAAGGAGTGGCTGATAGGTTTGAACCACCAACCTTACGACTAGCAGTCCAGTGCATATCCTACAGCACCACACCAGGATTCCAAAGTAGTCATACAGAAAAGAAAACATAGATGTTTTCTATAGAGATACAGAAATTGCAGCAGTAAAAGAATATAGACTCAAAACAAAGTCAAGATTTTGTAAGTGCTTGATTAATTGGTGTTCAAATTAATGGTCCTGTTAAGTGCCGTCTTATCAATTCTGTTCCAATAGTATTGTTGTACAGGGTTTCTGAGGAGCAGCTAGTGAGTTTGAACCACTGACCTGTGGCTTGTAGTCCAGTGTTTATCCTACAGCAGTACTAATCCTTTATTAATTTTACTTTATAATAATATATGTTGCTTTGCTGTTATGCGCTATTAAGTCAGTTCTGACTTGTAATGGTCCTGTATAGTGTTTCCCAAGAGCGACTGGTAGATTTCAACTACCAACCTTGCAGTTAACAGTCCAGTGCTTATCCTACAGCAGTGTATCAGGACTCCAATTACCAATTCTTATTTAAGTTCTAAATGTAGACAAGAGTAAACTCATTTAAAGATTTATGTTTAAAATAAGGGCAAGAAATGCCTTTATAGAAGCTTTCTGGTCCCTGTGGGAGATAAATTTACTCCTGAAGTGAACCTGCAGTGAACTTAGATATCTACTGTGCCTGTTTTTGCAAGATATATTAGAAGAGTAGCACTTACTTGTTTTAGGCAAGTAAACTAGTTATCACATTTAGAGGTGTTATTAAATAATAACAAAAAATAATGATAGCTTTAAGTTCATTTGCATCAAAGTTCTACTTCTCTGTGCTTGTTTTCTTTTGTAAAAGATAATTTAGTACCTATCTTATAGAGGTGTTATGAGTTAACACATTAATAAAGTGGAATAATTGTTATTAAGTGCCATGGAGCTGGTTCCAACTCATAGTGATACTGTATAGGGTTTCTGAGGCTGTAAATCTTTACAAGGGCAGAAAGCCTCATCTTTCTCCCACAGAGTGGCTGATAGGCTCAAACCTCCAACCTTATAGTTTGCAGTCCAGTGCTTATCCTACATAGTCACCACACTCCCAAAAATAGACCAATTGTTGTTGTTGTTTTTAGGTGCCATTGAGTTGGTACTGACTCATAGCTACCCTATGTTATGTAAAACAGAACTTAACACTGCCCAGTCCTGGGCAGGTCTCACTAATGTTGCCATGCTTGAGTCCATCGATGCTGCCACTTGGCCAGTCCATCCTGTTGGCGGTCTTCCCCTTTTTTGTCTGACCCTCCACCTTACCAAACATGATATCCTTCTCCAGCTACTGCTCCCTCCTTACAATATGTCCGAAGTATGAGAGATGAAGTCTAGCCATCCTGGCCTCCAAGGAGCACTCTGGCTGCACTTCTTCCAACATAAATCTGTTTGTTCTTTTGGGAGCTCATTGCACTTCCAGTATTCTCCTCCTCTAATACCATAACTCAAAAGCATCAGTTCTTCCATGGTCTTTCTTATTCACTGTCCTGCTTTCGCATGCATATGAAGTTATTGAAAATACCATGGCTTGGGTCAGGCACACCTTAGTCCTCAAGCTGACCTCTTTGCTCTTCAACACTTTAAAAAGGTCTTGTGCAGCAGATTTGCGAAATACATTACATCATCTGATTTCTTGATTGCTGCTTTCGTGAGTGTTGATAGTTGATCCAAGAAGAGTAACCTCCTTAACAACTTCAATCTTTTCTCCATTGATAAGAATGTTGTTTATTGGTCCAGTGGTGAGGATTTTTGTTTTCTTTACCTTAAGATACAATCCATACCAAAGGCTGTGGATCTTTGATATCTTCGTAAGTACATATTTTAAGTGCTTGTCACTTTCAGCAAACAAGGTTGTATCATCTGCATATTGCAGGTTATTAATGAGTCTCCTTCCAATCCTGATGCCATGTTCTTCTTCATATAACCTAGTTTTTCAGATCATTTGCTCAGCATACAGGTTGAATAAGTATGGTAAAAGAATACAGCCCTGTCACACACATTAATTAATTTTAAACTATTCAGTGTTCCCATGTTCTGTTTGAACAGCTGCCACTTGGTCCATGTACAGATTCCTCATGAGCACAATTAAGTGTACTGGAATAGATATACTTCGCAGTGTTGTCCATAGCTTGTCATGATCCACACAACCAAAGCCTTAGCATAATCAATAAAGCACAGGTAAACATCTTTCTGGTATTCTCTGCTTTCAGCCAAGATCCATCAGATATCAGCAATGATATCCCTTGTTCCATGACCTCTTCTGAATCCAGCTTGAACCTCTGGAAGTTCTCTGTCAATGTATGATTGCAGCCATTTCTGAACTACCTTAAGTAAAATTTTACTCACATGGGCTATCAAATATATTGTCCGATGATTCCCACATTCTGTTGGGTCACCTCTCTTTGGAATGGGCACAAATATGGATCTCTTCCAATCTGTCAGACAGATTTGGAATCTGTCTTCCAAATTTCTTGGCTTAGATGAATGAGTGCCTCTTGTGCTGCCTCACTTTCTTGAAAGATTTCCATTTTTATTCCATCAATTCCTGGTGCCTTGTTCTTTGCCAATTCCTTCAGTGTACCTTGGACTTCTTCCTTTAGGATCATTGGCTCTTGATCATATGCTACCTCTTGAAATGATATGTGCTATGGTTATTATCTTCACCATCATTAAAAAAAAAAATACATACGCCCCCAAACTCTTAGTAACATTGGCAGTTGTTGTTGTTAAGTGCCATCAAGCCAATTCTGACTCATAAAGGTCCTGTACAGAGTTTCTGAGATGTAGCTGATGGGCTTGAACTGTCAAGCTTGTGGTTCCTCAGTTCAGTGCTTATCCTATAGTGCCACACCAGGAATCCTAGTAACATTACTGCCGCTAATTAAATTTTTTTTTTTTTTTAATAAGCATTTTACTACCTCTGAAATATACAGTGTGAGTTGTAAAAGTTCATTCTACTCTTGGTATTAGATTCAAAGAAGGTTAAAACTGATTTAATCATTATACTTGTAGGAAATTTAACACTTCCACTTTGGGATTTGTCAGTGCTTTTAAATAACACATATTGAGAAATACTTTTGATATTTGAGTGTCTGTATCTTTCCAGAAGGCTATATAAAATAGAAAATGTGCACGATATCTGAAATGAGAGCATCATCTAATTACTTAGATCTGTT